CATCCAACTTGATGGGCCACAAAAATGAAAAACGCAAATTCAGTAAAATTGAGAAGCAAATTTTTATATTTAAAGAGGATAATAATCAATGTTATGAATTCTTACCGAAAAAAAAATTCATAGAAATGCATGATAATACTTTCTGTTTATCGAAGTATTTTGATCATCCGGGTGGATGTATTCCTGAGAAGGGATGTTCGATGCGACTGACGATTCGAACTACATGACCGTAACCAAAGGAAGATGTACTCTCTCAAAAGCTGAAGGTCATCTGACCATTCATTATTATATGACGTTGAAGCCAGTAAAATGTTTCAAGAACGCACCGGTTTAGAAAAATAATTTCCCGCACTAAAAAGTCGTAACTTATCGTCGTAAACTAATAAAGTCGCTTAAAATAAATGTAGATGAAAGAGTCGAATCTATTAAGATATTTGGAGAACTACACTGACCGTAACCAAAGAGGGATGTATTCCCTCAAAAGCTGAAAGTACAAGTCATCTGACCATTCATTATCCCCCCCCCCCCTCTCTCTCTCTCTCTCTCGCTTTGAGATAGAAGATCAGTTTACGATGGTACGAATGTATATTTTTTCTTTATTCAGTAGAATACTCTACTTAGCTACAACGTTGTAAATATTAATTTAACCGTTTTTAAGCTAATGTTGTAATACTGTGTGTTAAGAAATAAACGTAAATAAAAAAAGTCTTAAATGTAAATATATAAGGAAAAGCGTTTGAAAGTTTTATAAAAGATGTAAATTAACAAACTCGCCATTCTGAGTTTACCAACCACTTGTCGATGAAGAGTCTTATTAATCAGGGATTTTTGGTCTCGTGACGGGAAGAAACCCGGAGAAAACTTTCTCTAATATAAAGGAGAGAATCAATTGAAAATCTAATCGCATGTGAATAACTCACAGATCAAACCCTGGAAAAACCTCTGGGTTGGTCGGAGTCAGGGCAAGGCTAAAGGCTAAGGCATAGACCAAACTCTTCGACTGACAATTGGAATAGAATTTATCGCGTTGGAAAGAAAACTAGAAAACCTATATTAGATTATATTTAAAACTAAAAGGCAACATTCAAGATAAGGAAAAAGAGATTTAAAAAAAATGGTCTCAAAAACAAGGAAAAACGTGAGTTGATTCTTAAACCAAAAGGAATTATATTTTAAAAATGTCAATATACTTAGTTACATCGATTTCTGAAAGAGAGTAAAATGCAAGGTTTAAAAATTTGTTCCTTCATAAGGCGGTAACCAAGTGGACAGGTATATAAATTAATTTTGACCAAGTGTTGAAGTCATATCTTGTAAAATAAGAGGAAATCTCGCGAAACACCATCGGGAATTTTCCTTTTTTTACTACAAAACAAAAAAGAGCGATTCGTAATTCGTTGACGTAAGTTAACGGTAGTTAAACAGCAGTTTTCGTATGACTATTTATCGATTAGACTTGAACTCGAAATATTTTCCCACGATCTATATCCTCTCGTCGTCTTTCATTAGTTCCTTTTCCTCAGATGTTTCGGGAGTCTTTTCCATCTCCACCTGCTGAGCATGCCTGCTGCGAGCAATTCGGCAAGGCAGCGCGAATGTTTCCTTCTCGATCTCAGCTTCCTCCACCGTTTGTGACATCGTCGCGTTGAGGGTCTCGGGTAACCATAACGACAGCAATGAAGCGAACAAGCCACAAATCCCGAACACTGTTACAGGTAGAGTTACATTAAGACCTGGGAGCTGGGACTGAAAAAAGATTGCATTACTTCAAATAAATGAAAGGCTTGGATTTAAAGGAAGGATTGCGTTACATAACAAATATGAATAAACGTGACATGGAAAAAAGATTGTATTTCAGGATAAATAAGATCAAATTGCTTGTGGTGCAATGTTTTCCCATTAATGACAAAAAAATGATACTCTAGGGAATGACACGTGGTCTGTGTCACTCTCTTGAGAATAAGATTCTTTGTTTGAGTGGTATCTATATTCAGGTGTCTTCTCATGCGCAACCATTAAACAAAGAAATGATACTCTAGGGAATGACACTTGTTCTGTGTCACTCTCTTGAGAATAAGATTCTTTGTTTGAGTGGTATCTATATTCAGGTGTCTTCTCATGTGCAACCATTAAACAAAGAAATGATACTCTAGGGAATGACACTTGTTCTGTGTCACTCTCTTGAGAATAAGATTCTTTGTTTGAGTGGTATCCATATTCAGGTGTCTTCTCATGTGCAACCATTAAACAAAAAAATGATACTCTAGGGAATGACACGAGCATGTTCTGTAATAATAAGGTCTATTGGGAAAAGTATCATTTTTACAGAACACGTGTCATTCTCTTGAGAATAACGTTCTTTGTTTGAGTTGTGTCCATATTCATGTGTCAATAATACTCTAGGGAACAAGAAGTGTTCTGTAATAATAAGATCTTTTGCGAAAAGAAGGTGCAAGTCGGATTGCATTTTACTTGATTTATTTGTGTTGTGTCTTACCAGCATCACGATGTATGGCGATAAAATGGCTCCAATCCTTGCACAAGTCGATCCAAAACCAATACCGACATTCCTGCGCGCAAAGTATTTAAAGCAAACAGAATCATTTATAACTATCATTACTTTTCCTAAATTGAAATCACTCTTCAAAGAAAATTATCTGGGTCTTTATCTGGGTGCTCTGGTTTTCCTCCCTCCGTAAAAATCAACTGCAAGAGCCACATGATTCCCATCATCATCATCATCATCACCATCATATCATTATCATCATCATTATCATCATCATCATCATTTCCATCATCATCATTGTCATCATCATTATCATCATTATCATCATCATCATCATCATCATTACCATCATCATCATTATCATTATCATTATCATTATCATTATTATCATCATCATAATCATCATAATTACCATCAACATCGTCATTATCATAATCATCAACATCATCACCATCATCACCATCAACATCATCATCATCAACATCATCAT